CTTTTCAAATGTTTGTTTCCTTTAAATAAATACCCAGAAGTGCAATTGCTGGATCTTATACTAGTTCTGTTTTTTCTATTTTAAATTTTTTTGAGGATACCCATACTGTTTTCCACAGTGGCTGCATCAATTTACTAACAGTGCATGAGGGGTCCCTTTTATCCACAGCCCGGCCCACACTTGTCATCACTGGGTTTTTTGATGACGACCATCCTCACAAGCGGTGATAACTCATTGTTGTTTTGGTTTGCATTTTCCTAATGACCAGTGATGTTGAGCATCTTTTTATGTGCCTGTTGGCCATCTGTATGTCTTCTTTGGGAAAATGTCTATTTAGTTACTCTGCCCATATTTTAAATTGGATTGTTTGGGGAGGGGTTTGGTATTGAGTTATGTGAGTTCTTCATATACTTTGGATATTAATCCCTTATCAGATACATTATTTGCAGAAATCTTCTCCTGTTTAGTAGATTGTCTTTTTGTTTTCCTGATAGTTTCCTTTGATGTGCAAAAGCCTTTTAGTTTGAGGTGGTCCCACTTGCTTATTTTTGCTTTTGTTTTCTTTGCCTGAGGAGACATCTCCAAAAACACATCGCTAAAATCCACGTCAAAGAACACACTGTCTTTGCTTCTGGGAGTTTTATGGTTTCGTGTCTTACATTTAAGTCTTTCATCCATGTTGAGTACTCATTTCACACCAGGCAGTCTGCTGTGACTTTCACACAAAATCTCATTTTGGCATCACAACTGTCCTTCCTAAGAAGCTAGTGCATTTACTATTTTACAAGGAAAGCTGGGCTCGGAGAGGCAAAGCAGCACATCCCGAGCTAAATGGCAGAGCCAGGATTCGAACTTGAGAATATCAGATTCTAAAGCTGTTATTCTGGATACACACATATGTAATAAATACATCTCCATGCTTCAGATCTGATTGGTTTAGGAAACAATCTCGTCAGTGACACCTGTTGACAACTATAGAGAAAATATTTTTCCCACAGTCATCAAGTTGCTCCAGATAAGTGTGCTGAGTGACCATTTACATGGATGTCACTTCATAGATGTGGGGACACACAGCAGAAAATTTCACAGCTCTTTATCTTTTATTTCAAAAGTACTTATCTAGCTTTTGGCATTTCACTCAAAATTAACTTGGCCATTTTCCTGAAAAATACTGCATGATCCTCTAATCCTAAAAAAAGATTTATTTTGAACCACCAATACTTTTTTTAATAAACACATAGTTTAGTTGTCATTAGGAGAGATGGCAATCCAATTATTTTTAATACTGTTGAATCTGAGTATATTACTAGATTGTGGTTCATAAACTATAAATGTCAAAGATTAAAAACTCCCCATTGTTGCTACTACTTGGGCCTTAGAATAGAAGAGACAATTATTAAATACGGCTAATATCTTTTATCTTGGCACCTCTAAGATGACTATACTTGATGTAAATGACATCCTTGGAATAAAAGGAGAAAAATAAGAAATGCATTTATTCCTACAACAAAGAGAATGAACAAAAATACCTATGGTCACAAATTTCATGGGCCAAGCAATCTAGTGGACAAGACAGACATTAATCAAATAATTATACAAAAAAATTCAAATCATAAGTAGGACAAATGGTACAGAGATCAAGAGGGCTTCCCTAAAGATGTAATGCTTGGGCTGATGTCTGTGCTTGTGAAGAGATTAGCCATGTGGCCCCTGGATCCCTTCAGCCTTCACAGTAAAAGTCAGGGTGTAAGTGGGATTTTCCAGGAGAGACGTGCTCAATGGCGTGAATCCC